AGCAGTAAAGAAAATGTGCACGGCATAAGAATAAGTTGAGGAGCTATGTCAGTACTTGTGCGTGTGCCTGTAGATGTTGATGCTCCGTCTGTCTCTACGAGGAAGCCTGGCAGCTTCCTGATTTCTTGGTTGCATTCAAGGCAGTAGTAAGGGCCCGCGGATGCGCCACTCCACAGCTCTTTAACACATTTCCTACAAAATCCGTGTCCGCATTCCAGTGTGATTATATCCCAACACTCGTAGTGACATAACGGACAAACTGCTTGGCGATCAGCCGGTTTATCTAAAGAAGAACCCATTATGCAGATCAGCTTAGTAAAGCAGCGCGGGAACGTTAGTTCGAAAGAAACGAAACGTATAACAAACGCAACGGGGGCGGAGTCTGTTTACTTTTAAAGCCGCAGCGCAGACCAAAGATGGACCGGAAGTCGAATAAATAAGTCAGCGTCGTCGCCATCTTAGAGAGGGCAACTTTCCAAGTTGAGCCAATAACTGTATACCAGAGTTGTCCAATCTTATCTAGAAATTGCTGGTTTTCATTCCAGTCAAGCAGGAACTACACCTGATAATCTACCGAAAGCCAAGATCACCTGATTAAACAGGTGGAATCAGGTGTGGCTCCTGCTTGATTAGAATGAAAACCTGCCCCCACACTCAAGAAAATGTCTCTGAAGTCCTCTAGTCGCAGGCTGTGGTACAGTCTTTAACCCTGCCCATTCCCATGTTAGTGAACGGAGAAGGAGCCAAACCTAAGTTTTAAGTTACTAATTATTTTTGGGAATATTGTTCTGTCATTTTTACAAGTTCAGTTGACCTTGATATCAGTCCGAATATGTTTGTTAATGATAAATGCATTTCATAGGACTTATCTGGCATGGTTAATGAGGTGATTGATGGTTTTGGACATGATGGTCGAGCCTCAGGAACGTGCACACACTTTCCAACACACAGCTAAAGCTCTTGACATTTCTGCAGCAAAGCATTGTCTTGTTCCGTTGTTGCAACAGACCCTCAGCGGGGAGTTCTTTGCAATTTTTCCAGTATGTTGCTCATTTTTATGTCTAAGCTAGCTCATTGGAAAAGGAAATGAAAGAAAAGGGAAATTAATCTTTTTTTCACAGTAAAAAATAACAGTTTCAGGCCTGGCATCAATTTCATGTCATAAGTATTGGGGTAGTAAAAAAAAAAAAAAAATTCCATGTGAGTCATAGAATTGAATACACAATTTAAAAAATATAGAAAAAAATTAACAAATAGAACGCAAAATAATTGGAATTAAAAGCAAAATTGTGTTTTCCTTGGTTAACTCTGATGATTGCTCTGTCTGCAAATTTTTTGCTCATAATTTCATTTTCTTTTCATTCATGATTCAGTTTTCTTTGCCCTCGTTTTCAAGAAAAAATGCACAAAACATAATGTGAAATTCTTGGCATCCACATTGTCTTATTTGTCGTTAACAGATGGCTTAAAGTAGATTATTTTTCACTTTTGTGGTGCCAAGAACAACAGCACCACCAACAGCCAGAAGTTAAAAAAAAAAATAGTATGAAGAATCAAGGCTGGGGCTGATTTCTTTCTAGGCCAGACTGTAAATTCATTCAGCTTCCTACATTTCTTGTGTATTGGGGCTAAATTATTTAAGCCGCTTCGCTGACACATATATAACACGTCATCTGCTGTGATTGAGAAGACGTGAAATACAGTCACGGGTGTAATGAACATGAAAGAGATAGATTACTTTCTCAATCACAGATTGTTCAAAACGCCTTTGGAGGAGAAACTAGAAGTAAATAGACTTACCAAAAATGTACAATGAAAGTACCAATTACATGAAGGAACAAACGACAAAAGTTTTGTGTGGTTTGATGAAAGAGCTGGCTAATGACAAGTGCAGCTTTTCTGTTTACCTGTATGCTTTTCGGAAGAGACAAGGCATGATCACAAACTTGAAACACTTGACTTTAAAAATTGTGTTTTTCAGTGAGTGTGTTCCAATGTGTATGTGTAATAGTTTTGTGAGACCCTGTATTCCTATGTGTATGCGTAATAGTGCATAATAACAATTAAAAAGAAAAAACTGCTGATTTACTGATGGGTAGTAAAAAAAGTTTGGCCTTCCCATTTAATATTGTGACCAGCCTTCACTGATTTAGACTACTGTTTATGATAGATAAATTTGCTTGATTAGTTTTAACTAATGTTATTCTATCAATTTATAATTTATGTTGTGTCTTAAGGATATTTTATCATAATTGTATGTAAAATATATATTTAAAATTATATCTCCTGTCACATGCTGAAATTTATGACATATATAACAAACAGCCGAACAGCAGCATATGCTGCTCTCCTATGGTCTGGGAAATTAAGTCACTATACTATCCACTAAATGTTCGCATTATTGACCTCCAGTGTTTATATGGAGCAAGTAGTGTATTTTAGTTTAGTGGTGACTGCTGCATGGCATGCAGAAGGAGCACTACAGACAAAGAACTGTATGGGTAAAAGTTTCAGGTATGCAAAAGTGTGACAATTTGAGAAAATCAAGATAAAATTAAACAAGACAAGATAAACTATATTGACTCCCTAAGTGAAATACATTATGTTGATTGCTATGAGTGAACTAATGATACAGAAACACTACTTTTTCCATATTTGCATGTGGCTTGAATATGGTAGCAAAAAAAAGTGACATTTTTATGTCATAACATATATATATATATAAGAGATTTGAATTTTATTCAGATTTTTACATTTTTAAAACTTCTTTTTTTTTTTAAATATTCAAAAACTTGCATTCATGTTGCTAATTTCAGTGCTCAGGTTAAGTCAGTACATAAAGGCACCCCTCACTTTAATATACATGAACTGTGTTAATTTTTAATTTTAACTTAGCTAAACATATGAAGGCAACAACAAAATATATATATATATATATATATATATATATATATATATATATATATATATATATATATATATATATATATAATGTGTGTCTGTATGTATATATATGTATGTATATATATTAACTTAGGTGTAGCACCATCATACTTACTGTACTGCTGAAGAATTTTTTTCATTGTATAAGTCGTCTTTCAGCTCGCTTTGGCACAAACATACAGAGAGAGACACAGACAGACAGACAGACAGAATGAATGAATGAATGAATGAATGAATGAATGAATGAAGCTGTGCCACGTTATAATCGGCTTATTCTCCCACACTCCCGCTGAAGAGCAATTGATATAGTTAAAAGATAGGTATCATGGACAGCATTTGCTACCTATTTAGCTAAGGAGATAATTGGCTAACTATAAAAACGCACCGCACTTACATTCTGCGTCCTTCGCATAAACGTGTTTTCAAAAAATTCTTAAAGAAGTGTACCAAATATTCGCCCTGATTTTCAAACGTCTGATCCTGCCTCCTCTGTAATTTTATTGGTAGAGCAATCTTTTTTTATTTATTTATTTGTTTGTTTGTTTGTTTGTTTGCACTTTGAAATTTTAATTTGACTGGTGGAATTTGAGCAATAAAATTAACAAATGAAATATTGAATCTGAAGTTGTGAACATTGAAAAATTGATTTTGAATATAAATATTTTTTGAACACCTGAATTTTAAAATGCAAATCTCTGAGCACTAATGGGTGTTAGTTCAAAATAAATAAATATAGATGTGTGATTTTCAACCTAATATATTTCAATATTATGAATTGGGTGGTCTTTAAGTTTCTTTACTAAGAATTCAATGGCTTTTAAAATTAAAATCTTCTAATGTCACATTTTTGCTTCTAAAATTGCATAATTACGGATGTAGTTACATTACAGTTAACTCTCACAGAAGTCATTCCAGAAAAGGAAAAGGTTAGATAGGTAAAGTACAGTATGGCCAAAAGTTTGTCAGCACCTGATCATCCCACCTATATGTGCTTGTTGAACATCCCATTCCTGATTTATACACTTTACTGTTATTATTACCTACACTCTTCTGGGAAAGCTTTCCACTAGATTTTGGAGTGTGACTGTGGGAATTTGTTCATTCAGCCACAGAAGCATTAGTGAGGTCAGGAACTGATGTTGGGCAAGGAGGTCTAGGTTGCAGTCAGTGCTCCAGTTCATCCCAAAGGTATTCAGTGGGGTTGAGGTTACGGCTCTGTGCAGGACACTTGAGTTATTCCACTCCAACTTTGAGAAACTGTCTTCATAGATCTCTCTTTAGGCACAGGGTGATTGTCATGCTGGAACAGGTTTGGGCCCCATGAAATTTTAATGGTACAGCTTACAAAGAGATTCTAGACAATTGTATACTTCCAACATTGTAGGAACAGTTTGGGGAAAAACCATATATGCAGGCAGTGGACAGGTGTCTGAAAACTTTTATGTTTTATATGTTTAGATTGAAAGATACTGTATTTTTCTCAGACCTGGAGTAAATCCATACTCACAAAACTACATGGAGAATGAATATTAAAATTCACATTCAGAAAGGAGACAATCAGGGATAATAAGTTCAAACACATCACTCAGGTGCTACTATGTCAGTCACTAAAGTAACAACATGGCTGAACCTTCTGCCGCTAAAAAACAGGTTCAAGAATTTCCTAGCAAAAAGCTGACAAGTAAACTATATGAAATTAAATAGAAATAAAAGGCTTTCAGTCCTACAGTAGGAACAAAAAGGGGCGGAGTCAAACGCGACAGGTAGATATCTTTGAAATCAGCTTCCATGAAATTCATTTCCACGCTCATCTTTGACGGTCTAGCAAACCTGGTTGTAAAGCAAACTCCACCTTAATCAGAAAAGGTGCGGGGTCAAATAAGACAGGTACTGTAGACGTCTGAAACATGTGGCATAGATACACAAACAGTTTGAAAAAAATGCACGGCTTTTCTGATTATTGTCTCGTATGTGCTGTTGCAAACATATTTTACCAAGCAGGCAAACGTCATTCACCTCTCCGTGCTCAGAGTGGCGCACTTCCCCGCTTCCCGGAAGGGGGATTAGCTCAAATGGTAGAGTGGTTGCTTAGCATGCAAAAGGTAGTGGGATCGATGCCCGCATCCTCCACAATCCGCCGTGTTCTTAACAGAAATTAAAATCACCATGTTATTTATTAGGTACAGCCACGCAATCGTGGGATTATTTAATCAGCCAATCGTGGGGCTGAAGTGCATAAAATCATCCAGATATGGGTCAGCAGCTTCAGGTAATGTTAACATCAACCGTCTAAACGGGCAGAAAAATGTGATCTGAGGGGCTTTCACATGACTGTTGGTGCCAGATGGGCTGCTTTGAGTATTTCTATAACTTCTGATCTATTTGGACTTTTACAAACAATTTGAGGACTGGACAAACATGCAAGAAAGTGCACCTGGCCAAACATTTGTGGAGACCTGACTGTCACACCCACATGTGGCTCTTCCCCAAAGTGATGCCACAAAGTCTAAAGCGCACACACCTGTATAGACTGACTTTTTATGCTGTAGCATTACAATTTCCATTCACTGGAAATAAGAGA